ACACCCTCAATCGGTTTTTCGAGTATTTTCTTCCTCAGTGCAGGCGATTTTTGTGTTCTCAATGCACGATAAAAAGCAGCACAAGGTTGTTTTCACGTGCCTGCACAAACAAACTGGCGTTTTTTTTTTTTGGAAATTTTATTACAGAGTAAGAAAACCTATGAAATTTAGCTTCTCACAGTTCGCAACAAAAAGCTACTGAAAATGGGTCCAATGCTAATCAGGTACCGTACGGATAAATAAAGTTCAAAATGATCACTTCATCAAATCTATTTTTGCAGTGCTGAAGAGGGATCATGCACAAGCTGTTAGCGCTTCATCGCGTTCTTCTTCCAGTTCCTGGAAAATTTTTTTTTTCTGTTAAGATGTGTACCACGTGCCCGACAGTTTTCACACCAACAGGTGCGTACGTCAGATTTCATCCTCAATATCCAGTTAAAACGTATGTCGACAACTGTGTCCCTACAGTCATAAGGCAAGTCCGCTTCAGTCCTACTCTGTTCGATGAATATCCTCATTTCAGTTCACCAAGCACGTCGAGATTTTAGCTGCACAAAACCCGACACAACTACATTAATAACTGGAATTTAACACTCCTCCAAGAAGTTCATGTAATATTTTGTCCCTAACTACCCCATTATTATGATGCGTTCATTCAGTGTTTTCCCAGATGCCTCGCTTTGACTGATCCTCTATCAGGCAAACAGGATAGTACTTACTTTCTGCGTAATGGCAATCTTTTCCTTCGCGAAACTGTCCCATTGCAAGCCCTGCACAATTTTGTATTCTCCATTAGAAATAGTGACAGGAAAAGAGAAAACAAGCCCTTTCGGAATACCATACGAGCCATCGGACAGGATACTCATGGACACCCATTCGTCCTGCAAACAGTCATATAAATACAGAATTCTTGTTCTTAAGTTTTCCGTTCACTGCTGCGAGAATATACCAATACATGTCTCAACCAGTCTGATCAACGTTCTAAAAGACAATTTTCAGTGTCAGAAAAAATAAACAGCGGCACGCATCCGGGTAGCCAGTGCGATCATGCGTTTTGCACAGTTCTGTCCAGCTAACATTTGCCTGCTAAGGATTTCCACTCTTTGCACTTTGGTCTGTGCAAAAGTAGTTGAAATGTTGTCTAGATTCTAAGTTACGAAATTTCCCACTAAAACCTTGCACGGTGAACATCCTTCCGAAATTAACCTCCTAATTTTTTGGCTTTTGAGTGGTTTTTGTGCCAAAACTTTTACGTGGTCGTGCGTAAGGCCTCGCCATACTTGGGGACTAAATCTGAGTTTATGTGACCTTGCACAGGCAGAAAATATCTTCCTAAAATTTTCAGCCTCCTACCTCTTCTGACTTCCGGCAATAATTTTTCTCGCCAAAACGTTCGCGAAGACGTTGAGATCCAAGCCTATGTAAAAGTCGGACTTGAATTTACGGGGTCGTACGCGGGTGGAGGACAGTACACTAAAATTTTAGCTTCCCCGCTTTCGTTATTCTCAAGATGGTTTTCGACGCCAAAACTTTTACAGGATCGTACGTGGTACCCAGGGAAAGCTGAATTTATGCGGAGCTGTACTTGATTAGGGGTCATTAGTGTAAATCATCGCAAATTTTGCAGAAAGGGAAATAAACAATTCCCGTTGGACGGTCGCTCATTGAGCTGTTCAGTTAGCAATTTTCCCGCCAAAACTTTCACGTGCCTGTACGCAAGAGCTACGCATACCCGAAGGCTGAATTTGAAATCTACAAATTGTATGTGGACAAGGAAAATCCCCTTAAAATTTCAACTTTTCAGCTTTTCTAGTCCCTGAGACAACAAATTTCCTGCCAGAAGTTTTAGGTACGCACGGCTCAAACGTGCACGAAAGTTGGCACCGCCTTCCTGGAGTCACACATGGGCAGGAAATCCACTAGTAGGGTTTCAGCAAGGTTGCGCGGTTGCCGAGTTGAAAGACCCAGAAAGAAAGACACACACACACACACACACACACACGCACGCACACATGCACACACACACAAACATATACACACAAACATACACACCATGGATTGTTCCAATATGCTTTTTTATGCGGTTCTAATAGCGCTGCTACAGTGAGCAAAACCGCATAAAAATGCATTACGCTCAAATGCACTATGGGATAAAAACATAACGCATTTGAGGCCTAAATTTAAAACATAGGTGAATCTAAAAGTCGAACCGAATACAATTCACCATATCGATGCAGAAATTGTCAGTTAAGTGTACGATATTCAACGATCAAAAATATCAAACGAACTGACCGGTTTGGTTCCTTTGTGCCAGTCACGCACATGGTCACAAGCTG